GGGTTTCACCATGTTGGCCTCGATCTCCTGACCTCATGACCCGCCCTGCCTCAGCCTCCCAAAGTGCTGGGATTACAGGTGTGAGCCACCGCGCCCGGCCTTGAGTTGCTTTTTTAAAAGTTAATTCAAAGGCACTCTGCTTAAAAGCTTTTTATTTTTTAGAGATCGGTGTCCAGCTCAGGCTAGAGTGCAGTGGTACAGTTACAGCTCACTGCAGCCTTGAACTCCTGGGTGCAAGGAATCCTCCCACTTTAGATTCCTGAATAGTTAGGACTGCAGGTGCACACCACGCTTGGCTAGTTTTTAAAATTTTTTGTGGAAACGGGACTCACTTTGTTGCCCAGGCTGGCCACAAACTCCTGGCCTCAAGAGATCCTTCGTCTTCAGCCTCTCAAAGCATTAGGATTACAGACATGAGCTACCACACCCCGTCCTTAAAATCTTTTGTTTCAAAATCTTTCATTTCAGAAGCTTTCTGTAGGATAGTATGGTGTGTTGCAAAGATAATGTTTTAAAAAATGAAACAGTTTTATAATAGTATAGAATAGATTTGTATGTCTTTTTCACTTTATTATTTATTTATTTGAGATGGAGTTTCACTCTTCTTGCCCAGACTGGAGTGCAATGGCATGATCTTGGCTCACTGCAACCTCCGCCTCCTGGGTTCAAATGATTCTCCTGCCTCAGCATCCTAAATAGTTGGGATTATAGACATGCACCACCATGCCCGGCTAATTTTGTATTTTTAGTAGAGACGTGGTTTCACCATGTTGGTCAGGCTGGTCTTGAACTCCTGACCTCAGATGATCTGCTGCCTTGGCCTCCCAAAGTGCTGGGATTACAGGCGTGAGCCAGCACGCCTAGCTTGCCTTCTTTATATCAGGAACTACCAAGAACTCTTCTGTGCACTTCTTACTAACTTATTTAATCCTCAACGACAGTCTTGTGGAAAGTACTATTAATATCCTCATTCTACAGACAAGGAAATTGAGATTCAGAATAGGAAAGTCTGGGAAGATAGCTTGGGTAACTAGGTGACAGGAGCAGAACCTGAATGTTTTATAAAAGACACTTAACTGCTCATCTGCTTGCTTGATGAAATGTAATGGCTTGGTTAAGTATTAGTGTAAGGGTCTTTTTTGGGAATTAGGAGCTCAAGGCCTTGTATCTGCTTACTTCCTCCTCCCTTTTTCTAACTCTTATTTTTCACCCTGTTTTAGGTTCCATACCCCATGAAGTGCCTCAGATATTAATTAATAGAGAACCTTTGCCTCATCTGCATTTTGATGTAGAGCTTCTTGGAGACTGTGATGTCATAATTAATGAATTGTGTCATAGGTTAGGTGGTGAATATGCCAAACTTTGCTGTAATCCTGTAAAGCTTTCAGAAATTACTGAAAAACCTCCACGAACACAAAAAGAGTTGGCTTATTTGTCAGAGTTGCCACCCACACCTCTTCATATTTCAGAAGACTCAAGTTCACCAGAAAGAACTTCACCACCAGATTCTTCAGTGATGGTCACACTTTTAGACCAAGCAACTAAGAGTAATGTTGATGATTTAGACGTGTCTGAATCAAAAGGTTGTATGGAAGAAAAACCACAAGAAGTACAGACTTCTAGGAATGTTGAAAGTATTTCTGAACAGAGGGAAAATCCGGATTTGAAGAATGTTGGTTCTAGTACTGGGGAGAAGAATGAAAGAACTTCAGTGGCTGGAACAGTGAGAAAATGCTGGCCTAGTAGAGTGGCAAAGGAGCAGATTAGTAAGCGGCTTGATGGTAAGAAGGCAATCAAACCATTTTGAAAGTATACTTGTCATAACAATATTTGCAAAAAAATTAGCTATTTCAGCAGGTTAATTGATAGAGTAGCTTTATGTAGTTGATTTTGTTTAGAGAAACTGTACAGTTCATAATCAGAAAGGTAAATCTGGTATCTTACATAATATGGAGAAGGAAGTGTTTAATAGTGCTCTGTATGTTGTGTTTCTCTAGGGCATGGAAAGATAAGAATGGGTTGGTATTGAGTGCTGTGCAATTGTCTGGTGAGAGCTTTAGCTGGCAGAAATGATAACAGATTTGAGTGCTTAGTGTGGATCAGCTGCTTTACATACGTTATGTGATTTTAATCTTCTGAGGTAGGATTTAATCTTCTGAGGTAGGAACTATTACTTTCTTCTGCAGGTGGGAAAACTGAGGACCATAGAGGTTAAATAACTTGTGCACGGTAACTACTAAGAAGTGGAAGAACCAGATTAAAATCCACTCTACTTACGCGTAGAGCCTGCTCTCTTAACTACTGTGCAGTGTTATCTCAGATCTAGAACACATCTTTGTTTTCTCTGAGGACTTAAACCATCTTTGATTCTTCTCCACTGAATATAGGAATAGTTTCTACCCTGTTTTGAACATGCATAGTCTTTATCAATCAGTGTTAATCGACATAGGTGAAATCACTTTCTACGGAAGCTGATGTTTAAGTCCAAGCCGTCTGTGGTGGAAATTTCTGACTTACGTTTTGTTTTTTTTTTCTTTAACATTTGTAAACTTAACATTTCTTGACACTTACTGTTAAAACCATACACACACTATAACTTAGATGTCTAACAGTTTTATTTAATTTAGAAGAACTTATTCAATTTACCATACTTGGTGGAAACTGACAAATTTTAGACAACTATATTAGGTATTCCAGTTTTTTGCTGTAAATAAGTTTAGTTCAGTTGAACCTTTGGCCTTTTCTATATTAGGCACTGTGGTAAGTTCTGGAGACAGTGATTAATGTGTATAATTATAAATGTGGGTGATAAATATTCATTAATACTTTGATGTAGGTGCTGCTGAAGAACAAAGTACTTTATTACTATTTTGAAAATAACATCGCCCAAACGGTAGAAGTAGGGATTTAAAAGGACGATACAAAAAGCATAGAGGGATATGCTTGTGTTTGCAAATCGTGGCAGAAGGGGAAAAATTGCTACCGACTTAGGTAATACACAGTCTCTACCATATACAAAGTCTACCTATGCACTGAAGACTTGCATCAGGAACTCCTTTTTTTTTTTTTTTTTTTTTTATATTTTTATAAAAGAAACCCTATGACATGAAGACTTGCACCAGAAACCCCTTTTTTTTTTTTTTTTTTTTAACTTTTTAAAAACAGCTTTATTGAGATGTAATTTATATACCATACAGTTTACCCACTGAAGGTGTATAATTCAATGACTTTTAGTATATTCACAGAGTGGTACGTCATAATCAATTGTAGAATATTTTCATTACCCCCAAGAGAAATTTCATTCCTCTTAGCTGCCACCTGCAATTCCTCTCTTCTTTCCCACAGCCTCCCCTGCCTTAGGTAATCACTGATCCACTTCCTATTGCTATAGATTTGCCTATTCTGGACTTTTTATATAAATAGAATCATATTTTCATTTTCTTCATAAATTCCTGTAACCTGAAAGGTAACACTTCACGTGTTTTTTGTTTTTTTTTAATTGCATTTTAGATTTTGGGGTACATGTGAAGAAATGCAAGATTGTTGCATAGGTACACACATGGCAGTGTGATTTGCTGCCTTCCTCCCTATCACCTATATCTGGCATTTCTCCCCATGCTGTCTCTCCCCAACTCCCCACCCTCCACTGTCACTCCCCTATTTCTCCGCGACAGACCCCAGTGTGTGATGCTGCCCTTCCTGTGTCCATGTGTTTTCATTGTTCAGCACCCACCTATGAGTGAGAACATGCGGTGTTTGATTTTCTGTTCTTGTGTCAGTTTGCTGAGAATGATGGTTTCCAGGTTCATCCATGTCCCTACAAAGGACACGAACTCAACATTTTTTTATGGCTGCATAGTGTTCCATGGTGTATATGTGCAACATTTTCCCTGTCCAGTCTATCATTGATGGGCATTTGGATTGGTTCCAGGTCTTTGCTATTGTAAACAGTGCTGCAGTGAACATTTCTTGTACATGTGTCCTTATAGTAAAACGATTTATAATCCTTTGGATATATACCCAGTAATGGGATTGCTGGGTCAAATGGAATTTCTATGTCTAGGTCCTTGAGGAATCGCCACACTGTCTTCCACAGTGGTTGAACTAATTTGCACTCCCACCAACAGTGTAAAAGTGTTCCTGTTTTTCCACATCCTCTCCAGCATCTATCTGTTGTCTCCAGATTTTTTAATGATCGCCATTCTAACTGGCGGGAGATGGTATCTCAATGTAGTTTTGATTTGCATTTCTCTAATGACCAGTCATGATGATGACCATTTTTTCATATGTTTGTTGGCCCTCATGTATGTCTTCTTTTGTAAAGTGTCTCTTCATATCCTTCGTCCGCTTTTATTTTTTTGAGACAGAGTTTCACTCATGTTACCCAGGCTGGAGTGCAATGGCGCGATTTCGGCTCACCGCAGCCTCCGCCTCCTGGGTTCAGGCAATTCTCCTGCCTCAGCCTCCGGAGTAGCTGGGATTACAGGCACGCACCACCATGCCCAGCTAATTTTTTGTATTTTTAGTAGAGACAGGGTTTCACCATGTTGACCAGGGTGGTCTCGATCTCTTGACCTCGTGATCCACCCGCCTCGGCCTCCCAAAGTGCTGGGATTACAGGCTTGAGCCACCGCGCCCGGCCCATCCTTCGTCCACTATTAAACGGGCTTGTCTTTTTCTTGTAAATCAGTTTTAGTTCTTTGTCGACTCTGGATATCAGCCCTTTGTCAGATGGGTGCACAGCAAAAGGTTTTTCCCAATTCTGTTGGTTGCCAATTCGCTCTAATGACTGTTTCTTTTGCTGTACAGAAGCTGTGGAGTTTGATTAGGTTCCACTTGTCTATTTTGGCTTTTGTTGCCAATGCTTTTGGTGTTTTGGTCATGAAGTCCTTGCCTACACCTATGTCCTGAATGGTTTTGCCTAGATTTTCTTCTAGGGTTTTTATGGTGTTAGGTCTTATGTTTAAGCCTTTAATCCATGTGGAGTTAATTTTAGTGTAAGGTATCAGGAAGGGGTCCAGTTTCTGCTTTCTGCACATGGGTAGCCAGTTTTCCCAACACCATTTATTAAACAGGGACTCCTTTCCCCATTGCTTGTTTTTGTCAGGTTTGTGTTGCCTTTGAGGCCTCTGTTGTGTTCCATTGGTCTATAGCTGTTTTGGTACCAGTACCATGCTGTTTCGATTAGCCTTGTAGTATAGTTTGAAGTCCAGTAGTATGATGCTTCCTGCCTTGTTCTTTTTGCTTAGAATTGACTTGGCTTTGCGGGCTCTCTTTTGGTTCCACATGAAGTTTAAGGTGGTTTTTTCCAGTTCTGTGAAGAAGGTCATTGGTAGCTTGATGGGGATAGCGTTGAATTTGTAAATTACTTTGGGCAGTATGGCCATTTTCATGATACCGATTCTTCCTAACCATGAACATGGAATGTTTCTCCATCTGTTTGTGTCCTCTCTTACTTTGTTGAACAGTGGTTTGTAGTTCTTGAAGAGAACTACATTCTCCTTTATATTCCTTGTTAGTTGTATTCCTAGGTATTTTATTCTTTGTAGCAATTGTGAATGGCAGTTTGTTCTTGATTTGGTGCTATTTAAGTCTGTTATTAGTGTATAGGAATGCGTGTGATTTTTGCACATTGATTTTGTATCCTGAGACTTTGCTGAAGTTGCTTATCAGTTTCAGGAGATTTCGGGCTGAGACAATGGGGTCTTCTAGATATACGATCATGTCATCTGCAAATAGAGATAATTTGACTTCCTCCTTTCCTATTTGAATACCCTTTATTTCTTTTTCTTGCCTGATTGCTCTGGCTAGAACTTCCAATTGAATAGGAGTGGTGAGAGAGGGCATCCTTGTCTAGTGCCAGATTTCAAAGGGAATGCTTCCAGGTTTTGCCCATTCAGTATGATATTGGCTGTTGGTTTGTCATACATAGCTTTTATCATTTTGAGATACGTTCCGTCAATACCTAGTTTATTGAGGGTTTTTTGCATACAGGGCGGTTGAATTTTGTCAAAGGCTTTCTCTGCATCGAGATAATCATGTGGCTTTTGTCTTTGGTTCTGTGGTTAATTACGTTTATAGACTTGGGTATGTTGAACCAGCCTTGCATCCCCGGGATGAAGCCTACTTGATCATGGTGGATAAGCTTTTTGATGTGCTGTTGCAATTGGTTTGCCAGTATTTTATTGAAGATTTTTGCATCTGTGTTCATCATGGATATTGGCCTGAAGTTTTCTTTTCTCGTTGAGTCTCTGCCGGTTTTTGGAATCAGGATGATGTTGGTCTCATAAAATGATTTGGGAAGAATTCCCTCTTTTTGTATTGTTTGGAATAGTTTCAGAAGGAATGGTACCAGCTCCTCTTTGTATGTCTGGTAGAATTCTGCTGTGAACCCATCTGGACCTGGGCTTTTTTTGGGTGGTAGGCTCTTAATTGGTGAGAGCCTACAATGAAATGAAGGCAGAAACAAAGATGTTCTTCGAAATCAGTGAGAACAAAGACACAACATACCAGAATCTCTAGGACACATTTAAAGTGTCCTAGAGACACTTTAAATGTCTTAATTGGTGCCTCAACTTCAGACCTTGTTATTGGTCTAATCAGGGTTTTGACTTCTCCCTGGTTTAGGAGGATGCAAGTATCCAGGAATTTATCCATTTCTTCCAGGTTTACTAGTTTATGTACATAGAGTTGTTTGTAATAATCTCTGATGATGGTTTGTATTTCTGTGGAATCTGGTGATATCCCCTTTATTGCTTTTTTATTGCATCTATTTGATTCT